AGAGAAAAGAACATAAATTTCAGATAAGCCCAAACCTCATCAGCTATGTGTCTCCTTTACCCTACTTCATCTCCTTCCAACCACAAACAGCCAAAGGCAGGAGAAAAGTCTAGAGAAAAGAACCAATAACCAGTTCTCATTGCTGGGACTTAGCAAACCTTTCTGACTTGTCCTACATAAACCTGGCTAGTATTCTGAACATGCAGTTATGAACAAACACACTCAGAAATCAAAATCAATGCAAGCAGTTAGATATTCTTTTGGTTTCTGTACATGCTCATTACTTCTAAGCATTTTAACCCTCAGGTTACATCAATCTTTAACAACACCATTCCCTGAAGTTTTATGAAGAATACCTAAAAGTTCTGTGGCTAAAACAGGCCAGGTCACTTCTGGTATGGGTACTACCACAGCAGCTCCATCATCAGCTTCTTATATCAAAGCATTTCCATTTCCCCCCTTCCTCTTTCCTTAACTCCCACTCCTTTCCTTCTCTTCTGCCTATGATATTTATAAAAACTGCTTAAACACACCCCACCACCTGTCCAATACAAAGGGCTAAAAATGCTGCTGACTTTCATCTGAGGTTTCCTAAAGAGGTATCGAATATCTGGTCTCCTAAGCAAATAGAACTTTCTAAAAATGGTGGGTATCAACATGGTACTTTGCAGATTATTCAGAATGATTGGGTTTGATGAATTCTGGTTCTGCCATTTACTAGCTGTATGAGCTGTTATTTAACTTCTCATGGTGCCAAACACCAATGTAATAAAATTCCTAAAAGTTGCTGGAACATTACAGGTGCTTAATCAAAAGCAAATTCAGCTTAATATCCTGCCTAAACCTCTCAATTCCTTTAGAAATGTTTGATTAATCCCAAACCCAAAGTCCTCTGTACTGTTTCCCAGAGAAGATTTTACAGTATCTCAAGATGCTTCTTAAAAAGTCTTGTGGTCAAATGCCTGCCTCTCTTGGGAGGGTCATACTTTCACATGAGCATAGTAAAGGCTGAGAAGTCCTGCAATAAATAAATCTACTTTCTTTTCTCATGAAATCCTTTTTCTGTTGTAAACCTTTAAGTAACTCACTGAAGAACTTCTCCAGAACCACTGGATGGAGGGATACTTTCTGTAATTGAGGAATAAAACACAAGGACCGGGTTGAGAACTGCAAAGATGAGGTACACAGATGAAACACAGACGGTGGAGGTACAAAAAGGCAACAACGGGTAATGGACAGTCCCACTAGATCTCTAGAGAGTGGTTTGGTCCAGCACCACCTTGCAGAGGCAACACAAACAATAACCACTCTAATTTCTGCCCCTCACCCACTAGAACAATAGGCAGAAGGCTCTGTCTGGGTTAGGCAGGTAACAACAAGTGCCATCATATTTCTATGTCTTGGATCCAAGGTCCTTTCATACTTCTTGATGCACTCCAAACTCCTCCACCCCAGCACTTACTCTCTTACACATGCTATCTTACCAGTGCTCACCAACCCACACCATGCCTGCCTATGAGCCTCTGAATGCTGAGAACAGTTTTCCATTTTTCTTCAACTCCTCTCCCAATCTCATAGTTATGTATGTACATAAAACTAATATAGCTAATACTAAGTATTTACTACATGCTAGCCCCATTCCTAAGCATTTAATACACTAAAATTCATTTAATCTTCAATACAAACCTATGAGGTCAATATTATTATTTCCTCTCTTTTACAAATGAGAAAATTGAGGCAGAGGCAATTTAAAGAACATGACCAAAGTTATATAAGTGGTAAGTCGCAAGGAAGATTCAAACCCGAGCTCCAGAGCTCAAACTTATAACTACTCTCCCAGCTCACACTTGTTCAGTTTTGTTGATTGTCTACTGGCCAAGGTCTAGCAATACCTCATTGTTTGAAGAAATGTATGAAGCAATGATTGCAAAGCCTTCCCAAGAGGTCTACCTTGGAAGTCCAACCTGACAGAGTATGACCAGTAGGTAGACTTGCCCAAGCCCTGCCTCATAGCCCTGAAGCACAACCAGGGTGCTCCCAGACTATGGCAGCCTGCAGAAGCTACACATCTAATTTAAAAAGATTCACCAGAAAAGGTTAAAAATGCCCAATCCATCCTACCCCATGCCTCTAAAAACTGTATCTGAGCCATTCCATATTAATTCTACCCATGTATTACGTCCACAAAATATGCTATATAATCCTAAGCAAAAAGTTCATTTTTCATCTTCAATTTGTCAAATAAGTATTTAAAAGCCTCATCATTGACTTTTATTTTATTTATTTATTTTTTAAATTTTATTTATTCATGAGAGACACAGAGAGAGAGGCAGAGGCATAGGCAGAGGGAGGAGAAGCAGGCTCCATGCAGGGAGCCTGATGTGGGGACTCAATCCCGGGACTCTGGGATCGTCACACCCTGAGCCAAAGGCAGAGGCTCAACCACTGAGCCACTCAGGCGTCCCTCATCATTGACTTTTAGATAACAGACATGTATTGTCCAAATACTAAAGCTAGTTTCTTCTTGTCATCCTTTCCTTTTGGTCTTTAAACAGAACATAGGACCCTGTGACAGAAACAAATCTTCTATGAGCACTGTTCAGATCTCAAAAGGAAAGAGAAAGAAGTACAGAATAGTGTCAGCTCTCTAGTCAGAATTCCGAAGTTGAAAATCTGGCTCAGTCATTTATCAGCTGTGTGACCTTGGGCAAGTTCCTGAACCTCTGTTTCCTCACCTATAAAATGAAAATATTTTAATAAATAGAGATTACAGTATTTCTCACCAGATTGTTACAGACAGAAAATGAGATAAGGCACAGAAAGTACTCAGCAAAGTACTTGGCACAGAATAACCAGTCAATAAATGTTAGCTATTAATACTCTACATGCTTTTCTAAAATTAAAGAAATTCCTCTGTATAGTTTCAAAAAAAAGAGCTTGACGGGGGAGCAAGGAGAACAAAGATTAAGTAACCTTTATAAAGACAGCAACTCAATCAATTGCTCTATGTGGAAAACTGGGCACATTACCAGAAACAAGAATTAACACAATGCCTGTGAACTTTCCACACCCCATCCACAAACTCTGGCAATCTTCACCTTCTCTCTTGAGCCAAGGATTTGAACTCCTATCTGTTATGAAAAGGTGGAGCTCAATATCAAGGTAAGCACAGAGATATAAAGTCGTAACACGAAGGTGTGTAGAAAGCTCAAACCAGCAAACCTGCCTGTTGTCATCTCCAAATTTTGCAAAACGCATACATAAAAGGTTGAAAACTGGGGGTGCAGGAGGTTGAAAACTGAGTTTCAGTGACAGTTTGACATATTACTGCACTGTAATGCACAACCCTAGATACCAAGAAGGTGGTGAAAAGCACGACATATCGGGTTTAGGGCAAATTTATGTTCTATCAATATTCCTGTCTCATGTTATGCTATTAAACCAAACAGACTGGGACGCCTGGGTGGCTCAGCGGTTGAGTGACTGCCTTCAGCTCAGGGCATGATCCTGGGTCTGGGGATTGAGTTCTGCCATCAGGCTCCCAGCAAGAAGTCTGCTTCTCCCTCTGCCTGTGTCTTTCATAGATAGATAGATAAATAGATAGATAGATAGATAGATAGATAGATAGATAAAATCTTAAAATAAAAATTAAACCAAGCAGACTGAGAAGACCTAGGATAATTCCTGGATTTAAAGATCTCATACTCTTTCTATAATTGATACGTGTTAGCAACAGAGACTTGACTATCCCATCTCCCTATTTCTGGCCAGAGTGAACGAATCTAAATTAGGACTATCCCTAAAGGGCAAGTTTGCAAAGGCTGGCTCAGGAGGCTCCTAATTCTTATGAGACTGGCCTGGAACTAGCCTCAGCTGGTCAGAAGAAAACTGCTTCAATTTGAAAAATGAGAAAGACTACAACTCTTGGTGCTGTTACACAGATGATGGTAATCTGACAATAACCTCAGAATCACTCTGTATTTCACAAATCTCAAGTACTAAGTGCATGAACCTCCTTAACATTCTCCAAACAGCTCTAAAGGCATAAGTAGGGCAGTCACATCTCAGTGATCCTTGGTTAAGAAAGAAAAGGGCCACAGCCCCAACTTACTGAGCAAGAAGAGGCCCTGACATACGACATTGACAAAAGCTTAAGTCCAATGAAATTGGAAGTTCCATTCACTTTCAAGGAAGGGACTGTTTCCACTGGCTTATTTCCTGGGAGGGGTGTGGGGGTACAGAATCTGTCCTCCACAAATACCCTGGAAACTAGAACCCTCTAATTGTGGAAAAGAGTCTCTGGACGCCAAGATCTCTTGGACACGGTCAGCTGGACATCAACTTGTTCTGGGCTGATCACAGAGGGCTTACTTCTGTCACCAAGGCACTTAGCTCACCACCTTCGTCCTCCGCGGGGGAAGAGGACAGTAAAAGTATTTTGGAAAGATGCCCAAGAAAGGAAAAAGCTGACCGGTTTCCTGAGGGTGTCTCCATCCCTCCGGGCTAGTATGTGGTGACTTCCTATCAAAGGCCAGCAGGGGAGAATAGCTCTCCAAACCAAACCCGGCTCTCTAACAGTACAGGAAATGTTTCAAGCCTAAAAAGCCACTTGTAGGATTATCGAATTCATCTGGGAACCGCTGCCAAGTGATGCCCCCGCAGTGCCAATATCCCCCTCCGCTCTTTGTCCCCACGTTGCCCGCCCTGCCCTAGTGCCTGGCCCCGGCGCTAGCCCCACCCTGGGGCCGAAGCAGTTCCCCTTCCCCTGGGCTGTCCTCCCAAGTCACACCCAGAGGCCTGGGTCAGCGGCTCCTCCTCCACACACACACAACCGCTAGTGGTGGGAACGAGCCCGGGCACCAAGGTACCCCCATGCCAGGGTCACTCCAGCCCTCTGCCCACGTCCCTCGTGGAGGTTAGCTCGCGAGGGGCAGCCGGTCAGGCTGGCGAGTTCCGCGGCCCTCACCCCGCCCGGGGCCTCCCGTCCCGTCCGTCCTCACCGGGCGGAGGCTGGGCGGGCGACGGTGGCACAGACGGGCGCGGGCCGCTGCTGTTGATGATGTAGTGGGAGACGCGCGAGTTCTCGGAGACGCTGAGCACATAGTCCCCGGGGCTGGTGCTCGAGTCCCGCACCAGAAACACCCCGTGCCGCTGGCCCTGCAACAGCGCCACCGCCTCCTGCCGGCTCAACCGCCCCCAGTACCAGCTACTCCGCTCCTCCGAGTCGAAGTTGCCCGCCATGGCCGCCTCCGCGCCTACACGCTGGGCCGCCGCCGGCACGCGCGCCCCTCCTGCCCCGACGCCCGCCGCCCAGCGGACCGGCTCGGGTCTCAGCTTCACAGCAGTGCCCGAAATGGCGGCGGCGGCCGCGGGCCTTCCCCACCGGAAATGACGCGCACCTTGCCCCCGCGAGGATGCCGGGAAGGGGACCGCAACCCGCCATGGGGAGAAGGGCAAAGGACAGCTCGGGTGCGCACTGCGCATGCGCTGCCGTGTGCGTCGCCGCCTGGCGGGGATCGGGACTGCAGAGGATGGAGGGGCCAAGTCCAGGGCCGGTGGTAGGGGCTCGGCGAGGAGTCGGCGGAGGTTTGTGTTTGCGCTTTTGACCACGCGGCTCCAGGGTTCGAGTTCCTGGAAGGCCCCGGAATTCTAGGTAGCAACTCCGAGACACAATTGGACTACAAAAGATGTATGTGGCCTCAGGGCCTGAGCTCCTGGAGACTTTGGTCTTTTTCTGGGGGTTCCTCCATCTTCCCTCTAGACTGGCTTAAGTATTTTGTTTGCACTGATTGACTCAGCAGTTATTGACACCACATTTGCTCTGTGGGTGCAAAGGTGATCAAGGTTTGGGCCCTGACCTCACAGAATTCACAGACCAGTGGGAGGAACCAGGAACAATGACAAAGGAATTCCAAGCACTGTGAGAGGGAACCAACAAGGGGCTCCAGCCCAGTCTGTAAAGGGATTCAGTCCTCCACCTACCAGAGGAGGTGGCTTGAGCTGAATGTTGAATGGCAAGTAGGGGAAGAGCATGCAAGACAGAGAGAGCAGAATGTGCCAAGCCAGGAGTTCTCTGGATTGAGTCTTTCAAGTCATTTGCCCAGATTCTTCTAAACACTAGTCGTGGCCAGGGGTATCCTCTATTCTCCCTACTATCATGATCTCTGTCTCTCTATTCCATATCTGTATTTGTATTCCTGTGAACAGCCTGTTCACTGGTGCCCTATAGACTTGCTGCTCTAAATACATTGCACACATCTGACAGTGTGTGCTTTCTAAATTACAACTCTAAGACTGTTCCTACCCTGTGCACAACTTTTAACAGTCTCCAGAACTGGGACGCCAGAGTGGCTCAGTGGTTGAGCATCTGCCTCTGGCTCAGGGGGTGATTCTGGGATGTGGGATCGCGTCCCACATCAGGCTCCTTGTGGGGAGCCTGCTTCTCCCTCTGCCTACATCTCTGCCTCTCTCTGTGTCTCTCATGAATAAATAAATAAAATCTTAAAAAAACAAACAACAGTCTCCAGAACTTAAAATTTCCAGTTTAGGTCACAACATAAAATGAGGTCACAGTCTCCTCTTAACAGCTCCTACATGAACCTTGTGTTTCTTCTTTCTGGAATACCCTTTCACTCCTTTCTGGATCTCAATCTCAAATGTCTGATCTTTTTTTTTTTAAGATTGATTGATTGATTTATTTATTTATTTATTTATTTATTTATTTATTCATGAGAGACACACAGAGAGAGGCAGAGACACAGGCAGAGGGAGAAGCAGGCTCCATGCAGGGAGCCTGATGTGGGACTTGATCCCGGGACTCCAGGATAACGCCCTGGGCTGAAGGCAGGTGCTAAACCTCTGAGCCACCCAGGGATCCCCCTGTCTTCCCTTTTTTGACCAACTATTACTTCCTCTCTGCATCCATAGCCCTGTGTCCATATTGTTTCCATTACAGTTCCTACCCATTGTACTGTAATCCTTCATTCACAGGTCTGTCTGTGTCCTACACTAGAACTCCTCAAAGGCCACGCATCTAGTGTAGGAGCCACTACATAAATGTTATAACAGCTACCATTTATTCAGGGAATACTGCCTGCCAGGCATAGCGCTAACTGCCTTTAGTATGGATCATCTCATTTAATTCTCTTAACAGCCTCGTGGGTGGTATTTTACAACTATCCCCATTTTACAGGTGAAGCTCAGAGAGGTTAAGTTATTTGTCCAAAGACACACAGCTGCTGTGTAGGGAGCTGTTATTCAAATCCTAGAAGGAGCAGAGAGCTGTGGTCACTGTGCTGTATCCTCAGACTTCTGGAATAGGCATTGATGAGGACAGGAGGTTGGAGGAGGATGGCAGAAATAGACATTAAAGAAAAAAAGAAAATCAGCCCTGGGTTTTGATCTTACATGAAAAACACACCTCTTCCGGATCTACTGCACACACCCCTGGGCCTGCTCTGGGTAGGGAAGGGGAGTGAAGGCACCTTCCCTGCTGTGACTCACTGTGACCCTGGCTTAGTCACAGCGTGTTACCACAAGCCAGTAGCAGAAGCCATCCCACTGTGAATTCTGGCTCTTTGGGAAAGAGAGGTGTCTGCTCTTCACTTCTCCAGAATAGTGGAGGTTTGAGGTGGGGCCTTACCCAGAGACTGCTTGTGGGTTCTGACTACAGAAAATGGACTTGAAAAGAATAAGGGTAAAATAAAGAGGAAGAGGGATCCCTGGGTGGCACAGCGGTTTAGCGCCTGCCTTTGGCCCAGGGTGCGATCCTGGAGACCCGGGATCGAATCCCACGTCGGGCTCCCGGTGCATGGAGCCTGCTTCTCCCTCTGCCTATGTCTCTGCCTCTCTCTCTCTCTCTCTATCATAAATAAATTAAAAAAAATTTAAAATAAAGAGGAAGAAAGGAAGGAGAGAGGGGAAGGAGGGAGGAAGGGAAGAAATAGATAATAACCAAGATGGAGGGGATCCCTGGGTGGCTTAGCGGTTTAACGCCTGCTTTTGGCCCAGGGCGTGATCCTGGAGTCCCGGGATCGAGTCCCGGGATCAAGTCCCACGTCGGGCTCCCGGCATGGAGCCTGCTTCTTCTCCCTCCTCCTGTGTCTCTGCCTCTTTCTCTTTTTGTGTCTATCATAAATAAATAAACAAACAAACAAACAAACAAACAAACAAATCTTAAGAAAAAATAACCAAGATGGATAATAAGCAAGGAGATTGGCAAGGAGGGGAGACCCTGACCCAAGGGACTACTTACATGTGTTTTTATTGGAGCACAGAGAGGACAACATGGTAGGAACAGAAGTGGCCTTGGGACAAATTGAAGGCAAGCCCATCCTGCCCCTACTTCCTTTTTCTCCTCCTCCTCTCCCCTTCATACATTCAGGATTTGCAGCTAAAATCGTCACACACACACACACACACACACACACACACACACACACACACCTGATAAGCTTGAGATCTGCCCTACAAAGAATGTGACCTTCCTGGGATGTCTGGGTGGCTCAGTCGGTTAAGCATCCAACTCTTGGTTTCCTCTCAGGCCACAATCTCGCGGTTATGGAATCAAGACCCGTGTCGGGCTCTGTGTTCAGTGCAGAGTCTGCTTCAGATTCTCTCCCTCTCACTCTCTCTCTCAAATAATAGAAAAGTCTTAAAAAACAAAAAAAAAAAAACAAAAAAAAAAAACCCTGTCAGAATGCCTGGGTAGCTCAGCGGTTAAGCACCTGCCTTCGGCTCAGGGCATGATCCTGGAGGCCCTGGGATAGAGTCCCACTTTGGGCTCCCTGCAGGGAGCCTGCTTCTCCCTCTGCCTATGTCTCTGCCTCTCTGTGTGTGTGTCTTTCATGAATAAATAAATAAAAGTCTTAAAAAAAATTAAAAACTCTGTAAAGTTGAAAAAGAAAAAGAAATTCTCTCTCCATCTCCCTTTGCCCCTCCCCCTGACTCAAGCTTGAGCCATGTCTGTGGGTGCTCTCTCAAATGAATAAAATCTTAAAAGAAAGAAAGAAAGAAAGAAAGAAAGAAAGAAAGAAAGAAAGAAAGAAAGAAAGAAAGAAAGAAAGAAAGAAAAGAAAGTGACCTTCCTGCTTAGGAATGGCTCCTGGTACTGGGGTAGGGGTGGGGGGAGTTTCCTGGAAGAGGAGCAGAAGTCAAATGGGAAAAGAAAGGGAAGGCTGCCCTGTTCAAGAGAAAAACACACCAAAGTCCTTTATTCCATACACTCCTAACTAACTAAAGAAAGGCATTCCTTATTTTAGCAGTGGAGAGCAGGGAGTCAATGACCTGCCTATGTCTTGCACTGTGTTGTCTAAAGTAATCAGAGGGGGAATCCCTGGGTGGCTGGGGATCCCTGGGTGGCTCTGAGGTTTGGCACCTGCCTTTGGCCCAGGGCGTGATCATGGAGTCCCGGGATCGAGTCCCACATCAGGCTCTCTGCATGGAGCCTGCTTCTCCCTCTGCCTGTGTCTCTGCCTCTGTGTGTGTGTGTGTCTCTCATAAATAAATAAATAAAATCTTTAAAAAAAATAATCAGAGTTGTGCCATACAACTGTGCAGGTTGTGCACTGCACAACTCCAGGGTACTATGCAAATGGAATCTTCTGGAGTTGGGCTATTCATACACAATTTTCCTTAAAAAAAAAAAAAAAAAAACTAGGGCAGCCCGGGTGGCTCAGCGGTTTAGCACCTCCTTCAGCCTGGGGCCTGACCCTGGAGACCCGGGATCGAGTCCCATGTCTGGCTCCCTGCATGGAGCCTGCTTCTCCCTCTGCCTGTGTCTCTGCCTCTCTCTCTGTGTGTGTCTCTCGCGAATAAATAAATAAAAATCTTTAAAAAAAAACTAGAAAGATTATTTGTATCAAGATGACAAAAATATTGCTATTTAGAGAGAAAACTGACAGGATCACCTTCCAAAGTGTGTGTGTGAGAGAAAGAAAAAGTAGGTGAGTGTATAGAGGTACAATTCATATTAGTACAAAAATACTACTCTGACCTGTTCTCATCCATGTATGAAGACAGGGGGAAAGAAAGGAGACACAGAAATCTCCAAGCCTCTATTGGAGTTTCTGAACTATGAGAAAGAGAGATGCCCATCTCCCAGTGGGTAGCCCTTCATTTTGCAGAGACAAGGATCAGTCTTAAAATGTGTAGAGATGGGGCACCGGGGTGGCTCAGTAATTAAACATCTGACTCTTCATCTCAGTTCAGTTCAGGTCTTGATCTCAGGGTCATAAGTTCAAGCCTCGAGTTGGGCTCCAAGCTGGGCGTGGAGCCTTCTTAAAAAAAAATAGTGCAGAGACAGACAGTAGGCAAAAGCTCTGTGGAAAAATGTGAGGTGACTCCAAAAAGGGTCTTGGGGAAGAGAGCATGCT